ACACACACACACACACACACACACACACACACACACACACACACTCCATAAAAGCAGAAATGAAATTAAACAAGCAAAGAAAAAAAGGAAAAAATTCCCACTAAAGCAAAATGAGAAGAAAAAAAAGTGTACAAAAATACAATTGAGTTCATTTTTTATTGGCTTTCTAATGATTTGCATGGGGCCTGCCCTCAAATGTGGTTAATACATCCAATAGGACCCCTTTTGGGGGAAATTGGTTTTATTCTTTAACAACTGAATTATATCCCAATGTCTAAATGTACCAAATGTGCATTATCTATTATCCATTGCTTGATATTTAAGCTCTTTCCAGGTTCCGACTATTCAAAGTAGAGCAGCAATGAACATGGTTGAATAAGGGTCTCTGTAGTAGGGTGCAGGTCCTTTTGATAGAACCAAAGTGTGGTTTATCTGGATCTAGAGGTAGAAATATTCCCAGCTTCCTGAGGAACCGGCACTGCTTTCATAGGGTCTGTACAAATCTGCACAACCACTAGTGATGGATAAGTAAACATTCTCCCTTCCGCAGACCTTTGCCAGGAAATACTGTCATTTCTTTCATTGATTTTGCAATCCTGTAGTTTTGGAGAAGTTGGGATCCAAGATAGAACAGAGGATAAAAGTAATCAAGAAATATGAAAAATTGAAACAGGAAAGGAAGCGTGGGATGCTTTGAGAAAACTGAATATTTACATTATTGGCATAGATGATGGAGAAGAATTCCAGGTCAATGACATAGACCAGTTTTTCAATAAGGTCAGTTTCATAAAAGAAGAGTTACTGAAACCATGGAAAGATATATCCAAATATATAAAAGAAGCCCAGAGTACACCAATAGACAAGACCAGAAAAGAAAATCCCTACAGCATATTATTACTAAAACACTAACAAAGAAAAATATTTTAGAATAAATTTTAATTATCACTTAAAAAACGTAATAAGAAGGTGTTCTGAAAGCTGCAAGAGGAAAACAAAAGACAAGGCAAATATAAATGAAAATCCAAGAGAATAGAAGCTGATTTCTAAATGGAATCCATGACAGCCAGAAAAGCCTAGAGCAAAGCATGTCAAGTCCTGAAAGACTATATTGGCCAGCCTAGAGAAATGTACCCAGCAAAAATAACTGCCAAACTGAAGGAAAAATAAAAACTTTCCAAGACATAAATGGCCTACAACATCATATCCACCAAACCAGAACTAAGGAAAATACACAAAGTTATATTTTAGACTGAAGAGAGCAATGAACACAGCAGAGATGGTGGAAAGAAATAAGAAGACATAATTATTACAACATGAAACACCACTGTGACCACAGAAAACAACAAATTTCAACAGCAGAGTGACCACAAATGACACGTTTCTACAATATCTTAAATATCAATGGCCTCAATTCTTCATTTAAAAATGTGGACTAGCTGAATGGATCATAAAACAAAATCTGTCTGCCTCTTCTCTTCAAGAAATATATCTTGATTTTGAAGATAAACACCACCTTAAAATAAAATGGCAGACAAAATACTCCAGTTACATACATTCAGGAAGCAAGCATGCATGCCACCATGACATCTGGCCAAGTACATTTTAATTTAAAACTAATTAGAAGAAGTAAAACAGGAAACTACATTCTAATCAAGGGAAGAGCAATCAAAAAAGATGTTACAACTCTACACGTGTATGCATCCAATTCCGGGGCAGCTAATTTTATAAAAATTGTACTGCTGTGTTTAGTGACACAGTAACAACAATCTACTATTAGTGTGTGAATTCAAAAGCCCACTTTCTCCAAGAGACAAGGCATCTGGGAAAAATAAAGAGAAATATATCAGAATTAGGTCACATCTCAAATTTCCTGGACTCAACAGATATCTACATAGTATCCCTCACAAACTGCAAAGAAAATTTAGTCTGCTCTTTAACACATGGGAGCGCTTCAAAAATAGACCAAATCATGGAACACAAAACAGGTATTTACAAATTCAAAAAGATTGAAATACCTGTCCTATCTTATCACAACACAACAAAA